CTCAAATCTGACTTAGAGGTACACTTAACGGATCTTGATCATAATCTGGAGCGTGCCAGTATTGCCTTTAGTGGTCACATCCGAGAATAAAAGTTAAAAATTTATACAGTATTCCAAAATACTGTGCACGCCTCTCCTTAACTCACACCACCTACTTAACACTTAACGTACACATACACAAGAGACCATATATGCCTTTCAACTGTGGTGGTAGTGGCAACAAAGAACACTGAATATACCATGAACTGCTGAAAGAACAAACAAATCTGCTTTGGAGAAAGTGCAACCAGGGCACTCTTCAGAGGCAAGAAATTTCATCTCACATACTGAGGGAATCTTGTCAGAAGGGGACCAGTCACTGGAAAGACATCATCCTGGGTTAAGGTAGGGTCAGAGAAAGAGGAAGACCCTCAGAGAGATGGACTGACACAGTGACGCCAGCAACCGGCTTAAGCACAGTGGAGATTACAAGGATGGTTCAGGATAGCTCAAGTTTCAGATCTGTTGTTCACAGGCTATGAGTCTTGGTCAGCTCAAGAGCACCTAACAGTAACAAAACTAACCTCTTCACTGGACTGCCAAATGCTGCTTATCCTAAACTTTCACTTTTTAGCCCCTGAAACTCATGGAACATAGCAAGTACTACACTGTCTCCATCTAGGGTTTAAAGTGTACTTCCATCTGGTGGGGCCTATATAACTGTGTGAATCTGAAGAAACTGACTTCACTCCCTTAACTCTAGCATCAGAGACCCTTTGGGACATATGAGTCCCACTAACTATCTAAAGCTACGCTCCCTAAATTGTTTTCTTCCTATTTTATTAAAATATTTTCTATTACTCAAAAACACATTTCAACAAAAATTCAAAGCAGAAAATAGTTTAGTCTTAGAAAAAAGTGTTAAAGGCAGTTTTTCCCCCCCCTGCATAAAAATAATTGACTTTATAATGAAAATCACTGGGAAAATGGGATGTGTTGTACAGCCAATTTTGCTGAAATATAACCATTACATAAAGTCAGACGTCCTCATGGAGTTCAACAAATACACCAAGCAGGATTTTAAATGTGTTATCTGTGTTCTTTTATATTTTATTTCCAAGAAGTCAGTGTTACATAATACTTCTTGACTAAGTTGACGGTGCCAGTAAAATACCAGGAGAAGTATTACTTCTGGACCTAGTTTCCATCTCTAAGGAAGGCTTTTCCATTTTTATAGCTAACATGACAAAATCTACTTTTCAGCCAAACTTCCTCAACACAGCAGTGTAGATACTATTTCAAATACTATTAAATTTAATGGCAGGGCTAAATTCAGACTTCTCATTTCACTTTTGCACCTACTGGAAATTATTTCACTCAAAATAATTATGTCTTCAGATGATTTCCTATTTCCACTTAAAGTGGAAACAAATTAGAACACTTCAAATTCTATTTGCACTTCCAAATACAGTAATGACTCATGTAACTAGCATCACCAAAAAATTAGGTTCTCCACATTAAGCTTTTCCCAGATAACTGAGTTCCATTATGAGCAGATAGCGCCTTCTTCACGGCTCTGTCCACAGGGCCTAGAGCAGTGTCTGACACATAGTAAATCCTAAGTAAAAGGAATGAGTAAATAAAGTACTAAAGCTTTATTAACTATTCAGTAAGGTGTTCTTTTCCCCCTAAAATTCATTCTAGTCATGCCTCCCTTAAAAAGAAAAGCACAGTACAATTAAGCCCGTCTTACTAATCTGGGGCATCGTTGTAAACAGCGGCCACCCTCCTTTCCCATCACACACCTGCCATCCCTCACAGAAGGGCTGACGACATACAGGGCTTTTTGGTACCACGATAAAATAGCTTCAGCATACTACATTTTCCTTTTCTGATTAATAGCTATCATTTCTGTGTTTGTTGCACTGTTTCACTCTACACAAAATGTCCGGCAAGGTTTTAAAGTCAACTCTGCCTCCAAACCAATATAAAATACATGGACTAGGTTACAACTTAGAAGTCATTTCCACTTACTGCTGCTCTCTGACTCTATTTTTATTCTATTTCATTATTTAACAGATTCCTTGCACCCCCGTCGCATTCTACAGGAATCTGAGATGGTTCTATTAGTTTTAAATTAGTATCTTAAGGATTTTCATAAAAGCTCTAAATTTCAAATATTAATATGGGGGAGGAGCAGATCATGAATTACGGCTCAAAAACTAGTTCCAATAAAAACCTCAGGGCATATTTTTTTAATCCGTTTAGGAGACACAACTACCATGACAAACCTGGATTTCATCTTACTTGATAGACTGTGATAGGGTCCTAATTTAGATTCACTGTTCCAGGGTTCATGGCAGCAAAAATCAAACACAATGACAGCCATGGTACAATGGGCCTGTACAGAGAGGCAGCTCTCTCTGAACCGAAAAGCGGAGGGGATAATTTCAGTATAGCATTTAGTTTATACAATATAACTAGAGTTCCTTCCCCACAACAAGCTTTGAATAATGTTTATAATTTAGCAATCAACTAAAATGATGAAAGAATTACCACAATTGCAATAAAATATTTATGTATTTCAAACCAGGAGAACTGTGCCTTCAAACACTAAAATAAGCGTCAGAGAAATCTAGCTCTGAATTAGGGATGGATAAAAGAAAACAGGGATTTGTTTGTTTGGGTCTTGGAGTTTCTTTTATTCTTTTTAAAGATTTAAATGACCTTTCATTTGAAGTAAGTGCAGTTTACTAAATTAAAGGCTATGATTAAGTATTTTTTAAAAGTAACTAGTTGAGCAACCACAGTGGTTAAGCACTCGGTTGTTAATGGAAAGGCTGACAGTTCAAACCCACCAGCCACTGCTGACTCGGAAAGGAGATAAAAGCAGTTTGCTTTTGGAAAGATTTATAACCCCAGAAACCTTGCTGGGCAGTTCTACTCTCTCCTGAGGGGTCACTGTGATTTGGAATCAACTCAACAGCATTAAGCTCAGTTTTGGTTTAGTTGGGTAAATGATAAAGTAAGCTAACCAAGAGTCAAAATAAGAAAAATTAGTTGGGACTGTTTTATGAATATTCTTCCAAAATCACCAATCTTTCAACAAAAATAGTTCAACGGAAGACTTCAGTTCCTGGTATTGAACTGAACAAAGAGAACCACATGTTTTTAATGGCTGCTCATAAATGACCCAAATAAATCTCCAGAAGAACAGCAGTGGTTCTTTCTCTATTTTTTTCCCCTTCAAAACTCACAAGACCAATTCAACATAGAAATAAAAATCACTGTACTTTATGGCACTACTCACTTTGTGACACATTTATTTGCTGCTATGAAAGTTAGTGCTCCAACAAAGTAAATGTGATTTAGAGGAAAACTTTTAAAAAAATTTTCAAACAGCACAAAATGTTCCGGCCATCTGAGGCCAAAAACATTTACCCACTTCAATTAAGACCTTCAAACTAAGTGAGAGAACTAAGTATTTATATATAAACATTATAAGGAAGCTTTCTCCAAATGGCTTTCCAATCAATTGTTATGCTGACCTGAGATCAGAATTACACTTCTAAGAACCATGTATATAAAAAAAACTAAGCCTATACACAGAAAATTAACTTATAATTTAACCACTGATGGACTACTCTACCTGCCTTTAGCTCTGAATTTAAAACAGAGCAACAGCACCCTCTGCTGGGAACAAGCAGAACAACTAAAACAGCCAACAACACTGGGTTGCTTGAACTGTGCCTACCCAAGACAACAACTTTACAAACAAGTTAAACCCTAAATAACAAAAGGTTAACAGTGCTAGCTAACAGATGTTTATACCTATGATCGTAAACATAAAATTAAGATTCAGATCACCTTCCAATTAAATGATCTTTTATCCTGCTCAATTCCCCAGTCCTACAAAAAAAGCCCCAGCCACCTCAAGTGAGTCTTTAATTTCTGATTTTAATAATAAATGAAATTCTTTTCAAGGCTGCTTTCTGTAAGGAGTAACTTGGAATCACTTAAGAGAGGAAACTGAGGCCACTAGTGCATATGGTTGCCTGAAGCTCCCTTTCTCCTTCCCATTCCATTCTGGCCTCAGAAACATCCTTAAAGATTGAAGACTACTGTTACAAATCCAAAAGGCAGCCTGATGGTCTGCGAGCCACAAGTGACAGGCCACTGGCAAAGTGCCTACACATGTCCTGGTATTCAAAACATTCAGATCGTATTAAAAACCACATGCCATGGAAGTGCAGTTAGCACATTTTATAGACAAGAAAACTCATGGAAGCTACTGCCTGGGTAACACAGCTCGTGTACTCTGTAACTTAAACTCACAGGACTCATGGAGGACAGAAAGGCATCTGATTTCCTTATATTTGATCTCTTGGCTATAGAGAGAAAATTCCTTCATACCACTGAGATTCTTCCTTTAGAGAAAATCAACTACTGATCGACATTACTCTGTGTGACTAACATTAACTTCTTGGCTCCTTGCTCCCAAATCTGAAAGTCAGACTGACCTGTGGCCAACATGACAGGCAGCCCTTTTAGTCATGAAGACTATCAATTCTGAAAAATCAGTAAAGGCAGCCAAAGTGGAACCAATCCATCAGTGTGGAGAATTGCAAAGACAATTAGGTCTATGTAAGGCCACTACTGTGAAAATAGGAGGATAATGGAGTAAAATATGTAAAATGTTAAAAAGGGAGTGGAGGGAAGGGGAGCAGATGAAAGAGAAGGGAAAATCATTGGGACAGCAGAGGTTAGTTGGTGGGGGGTTGAAGGAATGGGAAAGGTTCAACAGGGGCCTGAAGAAAGAGGGTGAGAATAGGCATAGAGTAATGGTAATTAATTATAGAAAACAATGTATATGAGTAATTATATAAAACACAAAGTACATGTACAAAACACGGTGTATATGAATGATTATATGGAAAGCAAGAAAAATATCTTCCCAAGGAAATGGGAAAATTTGTTTTTTAAAAAATACATTTAAATTAGAATCTTAAAAGGATACCAACCTCAAGCCTTTTTTCAAGTGACTCAATTCTGTCCTTTTTGCTAGCTAGGTTAGCTCGTGTGTAGCGACTCTGCCCAGGAAGATACAAAACCTGAC